GAGACTGGCCCCCGTACCGTACGGGGAGCCGGTATAAGTACCGGTGACACGTACGGTACCAGGGGCATTTCTCCAAAGGCCCCGAGGGCAGAACTGAAAAATGCAGTATTTGAAAGTGGCGCCTGAATTGCAGCATGGCGCCAGTTGTCCAAAATCCTATGGTACCAAAGGAGGGGTTTGGAAAAAGGGTGCCAGGCCGAGAATGGGATGCAGCCAAAACAGCAAAAGATAGACCAGGGATCGAGCCCTGGCGAAGTCCGTAACACGGAGAGTATAGGCAACGTGATAGAGGTGCAGGCAGACGAAACCCTGACCAACCTCTTCCACATTGGTAAAAACAATGTGCTCACCTGTTATGAGCCAGAAGTGGTGAGATGGTACAGGAATTCAGAACTGCAAAGAATTTGCGTGCTGCAGGACAAAGAGGCATGGATCGTGTACCAGCCAGACACCCCTATAGCCGAACTCCCTCTTGACCCCGAGGAATGGCAGTGGCCTCGCCCGCAAAAACGAGAGACGCAGGAGAGTTTAAAACTACACACTTTAAAAGTGAAGGCCTCCTACCGCCTGCTGCGTCCAAAAGTAAACATAAAAGAAACGGTGAAGGCCCGATGGAGAGCACATCTGAATGTAGGAACAGAGGCGATCCGCCCGTTTCGATGGTTCACTGCTACAAGGTCTAGGCCGACGAAGATGGCCTCGCTGCAATGGCAGATAGAACATCGCTGCCTGCCCACCAATGACTGGCTAATAGATCGTACATTTTTAGAGCAGAAGGGTCGGACGCTACCGTGGTGCAGATCGTGTCACACCGCCTTCCCCTCCCGCATAATTCCGGAAACTATAGAGCACATATTCATGCAATGTCCGGGTGCGGTGCTCACGTGGCGATGGTGGGACATAATCTGGTCCAAGTTGGATACCGGCTCCAACTGGCCATGGGACTGGAGAGCCATACTATGTGAAACATGGTCCTCCCCCACGGATAAGGTTTTCGAAAACAATATGTTCAAACTGGGGAGGAGAGCAGTTATGTGGGCCCTCTGGAGAAAACGCTGCATCCACACAATAGAGGGGGTCCACATAGCCGGGGAAGAGGTGACAGACATGATAAAACAATATATCCAACAAGAACTCAGAGTACAGTGGCAAAAAGTTAAGAACCAGCTTCATCTGTCCCATACAGCAAAGGACATAACACATGCAATTCGGCAGTTCTCTGGTCACTGGTTGGGCAATGAGAGTGGGGGGTGGATCGCATCCATCCGATGGGACGGCAAGCCTGCCCAGGAGGGCGACCGAGATGAGTTCATAAGAGATTACTCCATCGACTTCCGAGATTGGACTGCGGTGGGACAGGAGATACCACTACGACCACCCACAGATTTCCCCGACCCGTTCCCACCTCACCAGCTGGCGATGGTCCACATGCAATGGTATGGTGCATAATGAAAAAAGCCTCAGGATCCTCTGAAATTCCAGAAGTAATCACGACTGGCAGGTGCTTTCTCAGTCTCTTGGCTGAAAAAGGACGTATCTAAGGGACGCTGGACCCGGTTTCCAGCAAAAAAAGGGCCTGGTGGGGGAAGGGAGGAACTAGTGCGTAGCAATAGGTATGTGGCGCCGGCTCCAAGGTGAAGAGGTTCTCCCTTCCCTGCTCCTTGCTCAGTCAATCCCCTAGAGATCAGGGTGATCAATGCTGGCAGGAACTTCTCATAGAGGATTTTTCTGAAGTGTTCAAAGTTTAATCTGTATATGGGACGCTGGGCCCGTTTCCCAGCAGGTGATGCTCCCCAGCATCACTAGCACTGGKGGGGGKGTGTTTCCAAAAAAAAAAAAAAAAAAAAAAAAAAAAAAAAAAAAGGTAAGGGTCTGAGAAGACCTAGAGGGGCACGCGTAGAGGTCTTATTTCTCTGGCAGACCTTACAACTGCGAACACACTCTATGCAGTCGGCCTTCATCCCAGGCCATATGTACGCGCGCATGAGGTTAGCTAGAGTCTTTTCCCAACCAAAATGTCCCTCAGTACGTGACATTCCCCTAGGATCAAACTATGGATCTCTTCACTGTTAGGAACGCACAATCGGTCAACTACGTTAGTCTTCTCGAATAGTAGCCCATCAGTAGTGCGGTAGTCTGGTTCTGACTATGCGGCCTCCTTTACTCTCTTGAGGAGGTCAATATAGATAGGGTCCTGCGCATACGCCTCTCTAACTTTCTATTGCAGGTCTCTCCCTTTATCCAGATAATGAACTATCCCTCCAAAGTAATCAGCTCTCCTACTCAGAGCGTCCGCAACTACATTATACTTCCCTTTGACGGGCTTGAGCTCAAAATCATATTGGTCTAACTTTGCGGCCCACCTAGTTAGCTTAGGTGTCATCTTGGTCTTAGTCTTCAACCACCTTAATGTCTCGTGGACTGAATAGACTTTGAAGTGCCTCCCAAACAAGTAGTGCTTCCAGTGCTCTAATGCTCGCCTGAGAGCGTAGAGTTCCCTCTCGTAGGTAGATGTCGCTACCTTCTCTAAAGGCATCCTAGCAGACATGAACTCTACGGGTCTATATCCATTGCCATCGTCTTGCTGTAATACAGCACCTATACCATACTGGCTCGCATCAGTAGTAACAACAAAAGGTAAGGACGGATCGACTACCTTAAGGACTGGGTACTCAATCAATGTCTGTTTCAACTTCTTCATGGCAGATGTGCAGTCCTTATCCCACTTCCAGATTGTTTCTTTCTTCAACAGCGATGGTGGAAAAGTTCCTCACAAACTTCCTGTAATAATTAGCTAGGCCTAAGAACGACCGCAACACTGTCAACGTGCAGGGTGTAGGCCAATCTCTAATCGCTGCAATCTTACTATCTTCTGGTTTGATGCCGTCTCCGTATAAGACATGGCCTAAATACAGAACTTGGGTCTTTGCCAATTCGCACTTCTTCGCGTTGATCTTGAAGTTAGCCTCTCCGAGCTTCTCCAAGACCTGCCTTAGATGACCCTCATGCTCCTGGAGGGTCCTACTGAACACTAGAATGTCATCTAAATAGACTACTACAAACCTGTCTAACCACGGCCTAAACAAGTCATTCATACAACACTGGAAAGTTGCTGGCGCATTGGTTAGTCCAAAGGGCATAACTATAAACTCGTAGTGCCCATATCTAGTCCGGAACGCGATCTTATACTGATCATCAGGATGGACCTCTATCTGATGATATCCGGACTTCAGATCTATCTTTGAAAAATACTTGCAACCCTGCACCCGATCTAAAAGATCATTTATACGGGGCAGTGGCTCCGCATTCTTCATTGTGATAGCGTAGAGACCCCTATAGTCAATGCACATTCTAAGCTCTCCATCCTTCTTTGGGACAAATAGTGCTCCAAATGAAGATGAATTGGGCCTAATCCAACCCTTCTCTAGGAGTTCATCTAACTGCTTGCGCAACTCCTCCAATTCCCACGGGGACATCCTATATACTGCTCCTTTAGGAGTCCTGCTGCCAGGTTTGATCTCAATGCGATGCTGGATGGGTCGCGGGACTACCCCTGTAGGCGGCTTAGCTAGATCTGTTTACTCTTCCAGCAGCTTGGCAATGGCGGGATCTATGGGCTTTTCCTCCTTAGGCTTAGTAACTGGCCTAACATAGGCTACAAAAACCAGTTTTTCTAGCTGCTCCTTCTTCACTAATCTTGCAAACGGAGGAGCNTTTCTAGCTGCTCCTTCTTCACTAATCTTGCAAACGGAGGAGCGCTAAGGCAGCAATGTGCCAGGGAGTTATCTACTCCTAACAAATGGAACAAAAAGGCAGTCTTGACCCCGCCTGACGGGCTAGGGAGGCTACACTCATGCTCTCTCAAATGGAGTGTGGCCCTTACTGCCTCTCCCCAGCCCATTCCTAGGACTATGTCAAAAGGAAGGTTGTCCTCTACGAGGAGAGTCAGGGAATGGAGAACTTTCTCCACCTTCCCATCTTTCTCTAGGCGAAAGTATGCCTGGACTGCCTCTACATAATCCTCTACTCGCATCGTGCGATTGTCTGCGAGGATACTCACTATGGGGTCGGCTAATTTCTGGACTTTTTGCCCCAACTTCAACTTCTGCAGCACCTTTCTACTAATATAGCTGCGCGTGGCCCCACTATCTACTAGGGCCCCTACTCTACCTCTGAAAATCTCTACATCTACTAAAACTAGCTGTCCCCTACTCTGCTTCTTCATCTTGGCCCAGGCGGACATCCTTTCCTTTAGCTTATTGGCCACGCCTGTGAGGGAAGTGCCTAGAGAGACCCTAACACAAGCGGTCTCTGGACAACTATCTAGACACCGGCCTGCAACCTCTGCCATAGGCACATGTCTTGTGGGAGATTCCTGCCGGCTCACACTCATTTCCCCACATGGCCTTATGGTAGGGGCAGTTGCTACCCCTACCGGCGGCTGCCTTTTGACCCCTGGGCAGTCCATCGGGCCTCTCTATACTTTGGAAAAAATTTAATGAAGTGGCCAGGGTCACCGCAATATATGCACTGCCCCTGGTCCACACGTTGTTGCCAGACGACCAGGCCCAAATCTTCCCAAGACCGGCCCTGCGGTAGACTTGGGTGCAAGTTTCCTCTCCTATAGGGTGATCTATTACCCCTATTAGGCGATCTATTACCCCTATTAGGCGACTTATTCCCTGAACGGTTTTGCGGGGGACCTTGACCCCTTCCTCCCGCTTGGCGGTTTCCTCCTCTACCACCAAACCCCTGATCGCCCTGGTAACAGCCCCCTGAGGCCCGGCCCCCTTGGCCCTGGCTTCTACCTCCTCCTTGCGGCCTCCCTCCAACCGCGACAGCAGCGTAAGTCCTCCCCTGGCTAACGCCACTGTCCTCCTCCTCTAGTCCCCACTCAATTTGCTCGTAGGGGACTTCGTCCACACCACCCTCATCTAAACGTAACGATCAAACGATCCTTGGTTTTGACCTGCCCTGAGATGGTGCGACCCTTCCACTTTTTGCCCTGATCTAGGTCTTTATGCCAAAAAGTGGAAATTGACATGGACCTCGCTTCGAACGCCACCACTTCCCTGCTCAATACGTCGTAGGTCGTGGTGGGCTGCTGGCTCTTCTCGAAGAAGTGCCCTCGTAATTGTTCGGGCATAGCCCGGTAGAAGAGGTTGACCAACTGGGTCTCTGTGACCCCATGGTCCGGGATGGCGACTAATTCGTCCATAATGCCCTTGAGTGCCCTGGCACTCCTCCACTGGCGGGAGTGGATGGTTTGCAGCCTATTAGAGGCTTTGACACTACGCGAGACGTCTGCAAACCGTTCCCTTAATAACTTAAGAAAATCATTGAGGGGCGTGAACGCAGAATAGGCAACGAGATCATCGTTGCAGTTGGCGGCACGACACAGGGAACGGGCAAAGCTTGCTGCTTCCTTCCTAAGAGCGTGAATAACTATTAGGACATGCTCGTCCGGGGCGGCTTTCTGCAAGTGCACGTACGTCTTGATATTGGCTTCCCAATTATCAAAATTTTCTTCCTTCTTACCGCTATAGGAATCCGAGAACTTGACCTTCACCGGCTCCCTACGGAGACGTGTTTCCTCCTCCTTGGGAGCAATCAATCTGGCGCCTTCTATGGCGCCCGTATAATAACGTTTCATGCCCTCTAGGCGGGCCCTCACCTCTGAGCCCACCTGCGTCGTCAATTCCCTGGCGAAGTCCCTGAGCCCCAACCGTATAGAGCGTAAGGCAATGTCCTGACCTCTACCAAATAGATATTGTTCTTCCTGGACTTGTGTCAGACGCTCTATGTTTCTCGCCATTCTCTCCATCTTCCCCAATAGGTCCACCTGCGTCTCCATCTGCTCTCTTTGTTTCTTCACCTCCTCCAATTCTTTCGCCGCCTGGCTTGCCCCCTCCATTCTCCTTTTCCTCTCCCTCGTCAGTCCGAACTTCCACTCCATCCTTTTCTCATCTTCTATAGCTTGCCGCTTGAGTGGGTCTTCTTCTGCGTCCCACTCTCTCATGGTCGCCTCCTGTTCTTCCCTGGGCACATACATCAATGCCTCCTCTTCTTTCCCCAGGGATAAACCAGCAACCCACTCCGTAATTTTCTTCTCCATCCGATCCTCCTTTGTACCACTGGATTCACCTCCTTGCCCCCTTCTTCGTCTTTCCAGCGGTTGTTCTTCTACCTCTTCCTCCTCTTCTACCGCCTTCAACTTCTCTTCCTGTTCTTTCCTCATCCTCTCTCTCTCTCGGGCCATCTCCTCCTCAATCTTCCTCAATTCTGCCGCTTGTTCCTCCATCAGGGGCTTCTTCTTGGCCTCTTTCTTTTCTTTTTTCTCTTTCAGGATGGCGGCGGTCTTCGCGTCCTGCTCTGCCGTATAAGGGGAGGTGCTCGTTCCGCTACGCGTGTCAATCATGGTGATAGACGCACAACCAAGTGATGGTTCCACTCCTCACCACTTAGACTCTCCCCTTAACAGACTCAACTTAAGACTGACTCAATCTATGGACCACAGGGTTCGTAGAGAGCCCTGTCAACTATGGTCTCTAGCCTAGACTCTAATCACTACAGCCGTCACTAGAGAACCTGTTGCTGACCAGGAGGCATTTACGGAGATCCCCCGTAACTCCTTTGGAATTCTTTAACGTCGCAGACAGGACGACGTGGTCAGCAGGTTCTCTCAAGACTTAGACGGCCCGTTGTGCAGCCCACAACTCGGATTTTGGGCCTACCGTACCACACCGAGCAGCCTGCCGGTCAGTAGCGGTCCTTGGGAGGGTTCGTGTCCTCCGGGACAGTCGAGTCGTTCGACACAGTCTTTAGCCCTACTCAGCCCGTATGGGTTTGGTCAACGACGCCCTATCCTTCATACACGTAGTACTATCACCTGGACAGGAGAGACTCAATGCAGAAAGAAGGATACAGACACACTCAGACTCAGCAAGTAGCATAGGGTGAGTGCACATCCATAGGGCGAGGGGATAGGCTAAGGGCTTGACGAGATTATACTGACTCCAGCTTGGTCAAAATCGTGGTCAACAGCTCCGGTCAACCCTCGGTCAACGCTTGGTCAATGCGGTCACACCCCGGTCAGCTCCGGTCAACCCTGTGGTCAATGCCCGGTCAACCCTTGGTCAACGCCCGGTCAACCTCCAAGTCGGCTATGGCTGCTGGCACCTCCTTCCTCGCCACCCTTCACTTCTCTTTCCCCCTCCGCCTTTTTTTTTCTTTCTCCTTTTCTTCTTTTTTTTTTTTTTTT